AGAGAGTGAGAGAGAGAGAAAGAGAAAGAGAAAGAGAAAGAGAAAGAGAAAGAGAAAGAGAAAGAGAAAGAGAAAGAGAAAGACAAAAAGAAAGAGAGAGAGAGAGAGGGAGAGCCGGAAGAGAGAGAGAGAGAGGGGAAGAGAGAGGGAAGAGAACAGAGAGAGAGAGAGAGAGAGAGAGAGAGAGAGAGTGAGAGAGCGAGCTTGCGAGATGTTTGAGTAAGTTTGTGTGTGTCTGTGTGGGTGGGGAACCCTGTAACCAACGGGAAGCAACTGCGTTTTTTCCCGCAGGGGGCAGGAGCATGGATTGACAGTCCGAAGACGCTCTCATTGCATAGTGATATACAGCAGGGACGCCTTCTCTACGTGCCCGCATTGTACGGAGTGGAAGCCGAATTCAGCATCAGTTGTCTTCAGTGATTGTCGCAGTGATTGCATTTATACTTACCACCAATGTGGCTTAATATCTTCACCTCTGTAGAGAAAGGCCAAACAACATGTCAAATCAGGGGGAGGATTGCACATGTGTGTCTGTCTGGCGCGACCGGGGGTTGCATGGGGTTGCGCTTGTGACTGCTGGACATGGCTGGTGTGGCTAGTCTTCCTGGTCCATAACAAACTGCATGGCGATACATCGCACAAAAGTCAGAGGCTGGGGGTTCGTTGGCGAAGTCGAGAGAGCTCAGCGCCAAAAGCTACAACGCAAGTTTCGCGGCGCTTGGTGACCGAGATGTAGGCCGAGGCCCGAGCATGATTCCCATGCAATTCTCCATGACATTCAGCTCTGCAAAGAGCCCCAATCGCTTCCCCCCCTGCAGGAGAAGGGGAACCATGAAGATGGCCAAGAGCGGAGAACTGCCAGAGCCCAAGGCCTCAAAATGATCCTTCCGAAGGGAAAGCCCAAAGCCTCGCCAGCCCCGGCGAAGAAGTGGGGAGCCATCTGGCAAAGACTTAAACCATCCGTTCGACCTCTCCGCATGGGAGAAGGTGCCGAACATGGTCACCATGGCACCACAAAGATGCAGGACAGTTTCCATGCCGAAGTCCAATCGGAGTGTGCAGACCCCTTGGAGTGTGATGCCGAAGGAAGCCAGCAGTCCCCACAAGAGCCCCGAGTCCTGGACTGAAATGTCGGAATGATGCTTAGACATTAAGTCGTGCATCTGCAGCAGCGTCACAGCCAGCAGGAAGCCACAGAGCCCGAAAGCCACGCGGTAGAGAAGCCTCGCACTGCTCGAGATGCCCATTTCAGAAATGGCCGGCACATAGACTCCGCTTGCCAGCAGCGGAGCATGTAGGTAGTAGCAGCCCAGTACAGCTACCAGGAACCAAAGCAGTGAGGCCACTGGGACAAGCGCCCGAAGTCGCGATCGCGGCCCCGCGCGAGCAGCCACAGCTACAAGAAGCACCGACAAGGCTACCGCGACGAAGAGGCCTTGGCGCAGGCTTTCCGGCAGCTCCCGGCCTCTCTGCATGTTCGCCGTTCGCACGGCCACTGGCTCAGAGGTGACGCCGTAAGGGCGCACCACCCATCGGCCCTCCGAATGCTTCAACAGAATCAGAGCCAACGCGCCGTTGAGGGGGAGCTTGCTCTGCAGCCCATGGAGGCGCACCACGTCGCCCTGCATCCCGACATGCATGCTGATTTTTGACATAAACACTCGCAGGAATGCGTTCCGAGCCCCAGCTGCGCCATTTTTTGCCGTGCAGGACCCTACATCTTAGACCTCAAGTCACTAAACATCTTCGACCTGTGAGACTTGCAGAGGCAGAGCCTCCCAACTCAGCAAAACTCACCCCACGTCACGGCTCAGAGCGTCATGAGCTGAGTATATCAGCGAACGGCACAGTCCTTGTACTTGCCTCCTTTCTCTTGTCGGGAGAGAGAGAGAGAGAGAGAGAGAGAGAGAGAGAGGACTTGCAAGCCCCAGCAAAGTTTAGCAAAGGCTGCAGCAGGCTCACGAGAGCCAGAGCAAGAGTGGCTGCTTGCTTAGTCGAATTTCGAAGCCTGCGCCCTCAGTCTCCACCAGATGACCTGCTAAAGAAGCAAGCGTTGCACCGCCTTATTCAGGATAAGACTTCGAACCGTAGGTTGCCCTGAAAAGCGCCAAGAGCCAGAAGAAGCTCGTAAATCGCTATATACCTCACAGAAGCAACCCTATTCGCCCTATTCCCACCCTTCTGAATCCGTGGCTCAGACGCAACTCACTCTGAGTTCCAATCATGCGCCGGAAGACGGCTGCCGAGAGGCCCGCACGCACCAAAGCCCCTGGAGAGTGTTCTGCTTGGAGCTTCAATGGGGGTTGTAAATTCGCATGCAGGGTTCTGTGATAGGGTTCCCTTTAAGGGTACGAATTTTAGGGTTCCATTATGGGCCTCCCTTTAAAGGTACTGTAGGGCTAAATTCGCATATATAGCAGTTCAGCCCGGGGGCATTCCGTCGGGGCCAAGTTCGTGCAAGAATGAAGGCAAGGATTGAAGGCCTGTGCTTATATAATCACTTAAAACCTCGATTCGGGTACGTACTTATAATCTTACTTGCTATGTCCCCTGATCCTCCAAGTACCAGCAGTCGGAAGTGAGTGCATTAACTTGCCATCGAAGAGTTGGAAGGAGGCGATAAGTTCGGAGATGTCCGGTACCTTGCGATAAGTTCCGACTTAGGCTTCCGACGTTGACTTGATGTACGATTTGGAGCCCGATATTCGCTCGCTCTCGCCTTCTGGGTCTTCTGAGATGTCGAAGCTATTGCTTTGAAGCTTGGGATCGCGGGCTTCGCATGGGTGTCCGGTAGTTTCAAGTCTATAACGGCCAATGGCAGAGACGAGGACTGGCAGCATGGCCCAAAGATTCTTCTGATTCTTTCTATCTCAAGACTCAAGTCCACTTGTACAGACTGCGCTGCTGCCCTGAAGCCATCAAGCTCGCGTCACAAGTCTCAATATGCTAGAGCAACAATGTACATGACGACCAACATCCGCAGTTTAGTGAGCGCGCTGGTGGATCGATTTTAAAGCTGAGCGAAGCTCGAGTTAGGGTTTAGGGTTTTTTTTACCCTAATAAACCCTACAAGCCCGTATAAACCCTAAAACGTTTTCGTGTCTTCAGGAGCCCCAGGAGACATGCGCCAAGGCAGCTTGGCCTAGGCGCAAGGAATGCCAGAAGTACTGATTGACGAGAACTGCCTGCATAAGGGGAAAGAGCCTGCTGCTCCACTGGATAATGAAGGAGTACTGAAACAAGATACTGACAACCGCAACTGTCACAATGATCATGACAATACAGATAGCAGTGGCCACACTTGCGATCATAGCGATAGTGAAATAAAACAAGAAAATCAAGTTAGAGCCGGCCTCATGAATATTCGCACCATGATAGTCATTCTGATAATCACAACAACAACGACGACGACGACGCTGATCATCATCGCAACCATATATTCAGTCACAACAATGCTCAACGTTAAGAACAAAAGACTTCATTCAGCATGCTGCGCGGGACGCGACTTCCCGAGGTCCACTGCCTCTTCGGGGCAGCAGCCAAAAACCTATGTTCCAAGTGCGAGGTAAGTACTGAGTTATACATCCGGAGACACTGCTTCAAAGCTGCGGTCCCCCACAGCCGAAGCCGAGGCAGAGAAAACCTCGGGCTCTCTTCCCTCCTTAGACAAGAAGGATCCCGATCCTTCCGTGCCATAGAGCCACCACAAAGCCTAAGCTTTAAAGCTCGAAACCCCGTAGGACCTGGAAGCCGACTCTGAAAATCCGGAAAAGGGGGTCCATCCAGGTGCCTGGACGAAGGTGGACAGCGGCAGGAGAAGCGCCAAGCAGATCACCTGCATCCTCTCCGAAGCAGACCAGCGGGCCTCTGATTCCAAGGGCCGATGAGTTTTGGGGTTTAGGGTATTTACGGATGGAAGCAAGCCTGTTGGGTGGACGTTACACCGGTGACAATGAGGATGCAATGAGACTACTGAGAACTGGAGGGACTCTCGAACCATACGTGAATACTGACTTGCGGTTGTGATTCGGCGTTGGGTCTTGATTCATGAAGGAAGGACAGGACTACTACGTAGGGGCCGATGCGAGGGGGTAATATAAGGGTCGTTTTAATTAAACTAGAAGTGAGTAGGGCAGGGTTGTGGTGCATATAACACTGGTGGTCATCATTTAAGCTTCTACAGTAGCAGGAACCTGCTTTGTCACCATCATCATGTTACGTACCATCGATCGCGAGACCAATATTCTTCGAACACAACACTCATGGCCATTGACAGTTGAAGCCGTAATGGCTAAGCTAATCGTTGTCGTCTTTGCGCATAGCTTGGTTATCTGAAACCACGACGCGGGCTTCGTATGCACCCAGACCCTCCAACTACCCTGTATTGCGCCAGTATTCTCACCACGAATTAGGCCCATAAGGCCCTCCATTAACCGGTCATTCAGGAGTCCAGGTCGGGGCGCAAGTCTGCGGAGTTTGCGGCGCTTGTGGCTGCAGGGCTTGGGGGTGAAGCCTTCCGGGCAAATGCCGCAAAACCTTCGGCCTTGAGGGTTTAGGGTTTAGGGAAGTCTGAGGGGTTGGGAAGTCTGAGGGGTTAGGACTTAAGGTGACCTTTGGTCTCGAGGGTGTAGTTTTTTGGTTTTTTGCCAGTTTAGGGCTGATTCTTGAGACGGATGTGTCAGCTTGCAAATGTCACTGCTCTCATTCCTCAGCCCGGAAGGCACCATCTTCAAAGCAAAGTCAATTTTCCAACCAGCCGCGAGTTCGGACTCATCCACCGACAAAGGCTGCAAGCTGCGGGCCTGCTAATGGACATGGAGCTCTGGAATGAGTCTGCTGTCACCCACCATTTCTGGGGGGCAGCTTAGTTTGAAGGGGTCCGCGCAGCCTCTGTAAAAATGCGTGCTGCGGCAGTTCCTCAATGTGCGAGGGTGAAGTCGTCTTGGGAGCTAATCTTTCCAGATGTTGGCTAAAACGGCCCCAAACTTAAACCTAAAACGCAAAACCCGAAACCGTGATCAAACCCGGAACCCTACACCCTAAACTAAACCCCTCACGCACCAGAGAAACTTCAGCTTGTGCCGCCTCTTTACCTGCTTAGGGATCTCTCCCACGGGCACCGGTATGTCCGGTTTGTGTCCAGCTCACGAGCTCCCTCCAGAGTATTGGCCAGGGGGGGTTTAGAGTTTAGGGTTTATAGGGGTTCAGGGTTTTAGGCTTCCGGCCTTATGTTTGGAATTCGGGCGTCTTGCGGGCTCTCCGTGTCAACAGAACCTTCCAACTCTTCTGTAGGAGCCTTCAGGATACCACCACTCAGGTACTAATCCCATAACCCCATAAAGGCCCTACACCTTAGATCCTACTACACTTAGTACACTGAACAGTGATCCCGTAATAATTTATACACTTCTTCATTGTAGTACTCCCGTTATCATCTCCATACGCCCTATAACTACCCTGATAGTATCGTCATCCCCTTATCATCTTTTTAGGCCCTTATCTCTTCTGGAGGACCGTAGAGTCAACAGATAAGCCCCTTCTTACCGTAAACCCTAAGCCCTAAACCCCTAAATCCCTAAACCCCTAAACCCCTAAACCCCTAAATCCCTAAACCCCTACACCCCTAAACCCTAAATCCCTAAACCACTACACCCCTAAACCCCCTAAACCCCTACCCTAAACCCTAAACCCCTAAATCCCTAAACCACTACACCCCTAAACCCCCC